CAAAACTACTCGAATTTCCTCACTCACGTTGCTACGACTGAATCGAGTTTTCAATTCTCTATCCAACGATGCCAAAACAGAATTAAACGAACTCAAGTTTAGGAGGTTCTTCCACATTGTTGCGATCGCAGGAAATTTTCAAAATGTTGCCTAATTTGATCTTGAACCGATGTGTATGCACTTTGCCAGAGTTCTGGGGCCGAAACCAATCAACTGAACGCAAAAAACACAACTCAGATTGTCGGCAAGAATGTTTATTGGTTGATTGTGCTGTTCGGTTGACTCAAATCAGGCGCTCTTGGAGGCCTGGGCAGTTGATTGACGTTGAAAGCCTGGATCTACGCACGTATCGAATGCAGCAGCAGCAGCAGCAGCCTTGATCAGTGGATCTTCTTGCATTTTCGGCTAGTTTTCGTTGGCAATCGGCCACAATATCGTTTGTCATCCTCGCAACCCGAAACCGTTCATTAATGTTTCAAGGGCCGCTTGATTCGAACCGGTCCAAGGCGAAAGGTTGCTCGCATGATTGAAGCCTTATTATTTTAGTGTTAGACAAACAAATATCGACGTTTTCCACTCAATTAACCCAGTTTCCATTCAAAAATAGTCGGGCAAGGATAAGAAGTCCTTTTGCATCCAACAATAGTGGCGCATGTTGATCCAGTAGTGTAAACGCCGTAAACTCGTAAGTGTCCATAACAATAGCGGGATTTATGGTCGAACGGGGGCAAAAACCTGGATATTTGGAGAAGCTCCAGTTCAAACGAGCCTATTGAAAGTCTACAAAGCAAGTGATTGATTATTGATTCGGTTCAAGTGCACAAAGGCGCCGGTTTGTTGATTTGCCACATGGAGGCTTCACAGAAGCTCGACTGGAAGATCGGCCACGTTGGAAGCGGTTGGCGCGTTCAACATTGACGCAAATTGCCACTTGATTGAAAAAAAACTGGCCGCGTGTCACCGCTTGGGGTATTTTGGGAGATTAAGATGGAAAAAATCAATAACAGGCTGTTTACACGTACTTGATGTATTTTTGGGAGTTTGTGAAAACCCTAATTACTAAGGTCAAGTAATAGAGTGCAACCGGTTGATAAAATAATGCGGCAAGTGTTGAGGCCGCAAAGCCATCTGAAAGAGACAAACATAAAAAAACTGTGATATCCCGAGGTCACTGCCGAATCTATTTTCGTAAAAACGGCTGGCGCATTTTATTTACATAATAGCCGAAAACAGTGGAATTTTATTGGACATTAGATGATCTCTTTGGCCTTGTTCGCCGGCAGAAGAACCGGCCGTTCTCCGCTCTAAAAATCATAATTCGATTCCTGAAATGAGCGCGTTTCACCGTGCGACTTTCCTGCACGGTGTGAATCATGTGTGGAAACTGCATTTAATTGCATTGCATGCAATATGAGTTCACGGTCAACACAGACTAAACTGTTTGTTACGGCTTCATAACGTTTTTTTCAGCACATTTCCGCAACTACGCAAAGACACTTTCCCAAAACTACTTAAGTGGTTATTATCGCAAATGTTCGCGGAAAGTGTATTATTTTAGCCTGGTTCATGTGCTTTTAATACCAAATGAAGCCATCGTTGATTATTATCGTTTGGAACCAACATGTGGTTTTTTCGGGGGAAAACGACGCCTTTCGGTGTTTTTTTTCAAGGAAAGTAAACAGTGGCTGCAGTTGGTTACGTAAGAAGTCACGGGCGTGTAAATGCGGCTCTCATTGAACTTGACAATACAATAAAACCACAATTAATAATCTGCATTGCTTTGTTGCTTAATTAATACATATTGCGAAACAAGCGCGATTTTATTCCCGTTACTGGGTGGAGTTGAGGCTTTGTTTGGGGGTTTTAGTGAAGTGAGTTTAGTGCTTCCAATCTGGAGAGTTCGGAAGTTTGCTTCTTCACTAAAGTGCAGGGCGGCTTGGCTGCTTTAAATGTTGGAAATTGTTCTGGTAAATTTTCAAATACGCAGCAACTTTTCTTGATTTTTAGTGGCTTTATTTTCAATCTGGATTCAATCTTCCTTGAGCCTTGGTTGGTTAATCTGGTTATTCAAGCTTCAGTTTGTCCCAAATCCGAACGATTCAACCACTTCGCGTTTTCGCTATTTGCAGGGCCACTTTCCTTCTATAAAAGCTGACTTTTTTTTATAAAAAAATCGAAAATTGTTGACAAAACGAGTTCCGAAAACTGTATCCTTCCTATTTAAGAGGTTTAACTGGTGCACTTTTTCAGGCTTCTAATACTCTCAATTTAGACCATTTAGAATGTCAATTTTCCTCTCATTTGCAGCGCAACTTTCGTTCAACTTCGTTCGCAAAACTGTAACTTTGAAGCCTCAAATTGAACTATTCAACAAACTATTATAAAAAGTTCACTTTTTGGTCATTGTCAGGTCAACTTTAAGCCTATAAAAGTTGGAAAGTGTTTGTCGATTCCTGTCCTCAGAGAGTTTGGGCGAATTTTCAAAATAATCTCTAACTTTCCTTGAGTCTTGGTAGGTTTAACATGCCAACTTTCAAGCTTCAATTGCTTTCAATTTACACGATTAAGGAAGTTCGTTTTTTGGGGATTTGTAGGGTAAGTTTTCTT